ACTATCTTTTTATGTTATAGTTTAAATTGATTACTAGCATTCCATCAAATCAAAAGATATCAATTAACACAAAACTTCAACAGAAAGAATCACATAATAAGACTTGGCAAGAAAAATATATTATTCATGGGAACTCATCAGATATTATTGCAGACATTGAAAGTCAAATCCATGGCTGTTCTACTTCGACCGTTTCAGAGAAGATTGATATATATATATTCAATCTTCATCATATTACTCTACAAGCTAATGACATTTTTCAAGAGCTTTCATCCAAAATTTCATCAAAGGAGGAACAGGTGCTTAATCTACTTGTTCAAACACGACAAGATATTATTAATGAATTAATAAAAACTGGTCGTTCAGAAATGAACCGAATAGAATTCCATTATAAACAAATAATAGAAGACTTCATTAAAGAAATAGAAAAACAAATGTCAGTAGATTTAGATACATTGCAAGACCAAATGGAAGCTGAAAAACAGAAAGTTTTCAAACATGTTAATATTAACATTCAAAGTTTAACAACTATTTCGGAAACTGGAAAAAGCAAAATTCTTCAGCGGTTACAAGCTACCACTCAATCGAAACGTCAAGAAATATTGGAGCAAATTATTATTATTTCCAGGGACACAACGTCTCATCCTCTAGGTTATGAACAATTAAGAAAACTTAATTTTGAAATGTATTCTGCTGTGGGCTTTAGAGGAGATAAGGAAGGTTGTTCTAACATACCTGACAGAGGCAAATTTATAAAAGACATTAAGGATGCGAAACCGAAGCAACCTTTTAAAAGAACTGTCTATATTGGAACTAATGGTGATAGAATATTAGAAAGTCGTCAGGAAACTGATAACTAACTACAATTTATAATTCGTGCGGCAAACTTTAATAACGCTTTGTTGAATACTGTTCAAAGTGCTTTTATTTTATTTTAATCTTTTAGCCCAGAAAAAAAAACAGAATCTGTTCCAAGTAGAGAAGGGTGTGGGTGTGGGTGTGGGTGTGAGTGTGGGGTGGGTGAATGTGGATGTGATGAGGGTAACTATGTCCTTCCAGTCCACACCCACACCCTATTCTGTAGAATTCAAGACAGTATGAAGAAAACTGTCCTGTGATGTTCTGTCGTTTCTAAACAAAAGAGTCGATTGTTTATATTTTGTCTAAAAATAACAATGAGAATATTTGTTTTTAGATAAAAAGGTTTATTTAATTAATCGTTGAATCTTTTAGTATATTGATTAATATTCATTGGATATTCTATTTATCAACTGAATTAACAATTTCGAAAGCGTTTATTTTCTAGTGAGTGAATCATTTGTTATGTTATCTGTTCATTAGAATAATGAATAGAAGTGTTTATATTCTTGTTAAATACATTCATTTGAAATTCTATTTCTGATTGTAGTAATTTTTAAGCGATATGATTTATCAAAATACAATTAAATAAATTTTGTTCAATTGATAGTAAATATTTTCAACAAATAATCTAATCAATTTATGAAAATAATTTCTGATTTTTGACTGACTGACGAATACATGAAGAACAAACGGAACTTTTATCAATATTTACTTCTTCAATCGACACCCAGTTTCGAAGAACAAAAAGTTAACTATTGATAAATCCCTATCGATTCATCATATAAGGAAAGTTAATAACTATTTCGAGACTTTTTTGTGGAACTCATGTACATTTTCGAAGGAAATAGTGAGTGTAAGTCACAGTTTTGCGGCTCTCCCCTCCCCATTTCAGATTTTCTAGGGTTTTTGCAAAATATATAAAGGTACAATTTTGAAAAATAATGAATATCATTACTTTTGAATGGATTAATATATATAATAGTGTGTAAGATCTACTGTACATATCATAGATATGGAAAATAGACTTATTTGTCAATTAATTCAATGTTTATAATAATAAGAATGTTAAATTAAGAAAAACGAATTAAAACAATGAAAAATAATGAGTGAATAGCAATAATGCAAACAAAATAGGGTGCCTGTAGAAAAAAAAATAAAAAAGATCCTGTTCGAAATGCAAAAAATAAAGAGATCCTTACTCTGTTCATCGATTACCCTGCAAAACAGCAATAGTCTACGAGAGATTTTTCACTTTACGTAATTTGTATTAGTTTAATGAGGCTAGTGAGCATATGTGAGTTCCACATTTCAAACCCAAATGGGCTGCACTGGTAAGCTTTTTTAGTAATATCTGCTCTTGTTTAGTGTGAGAAAAGAGTTGAAATAATGATTGTGTTGGATGTGAATAACTTCAGCTAAAGTTGAAGATGAATGAATTTCATTGTTCTTTGTCCTATGATTTAGGAAATTACAATTTGTACAAACAATGTCAGCTTTCCAATAAAACGAATAGACTCAAGGGAAACCAGATTCATTTGCGTTGTTTAGAAAAACAAATAATCAATAGTTCATGTTTGATATTTTGTGGATTCGAAAAAAGAATTTGTTAAAAAACGCGGAAATAAGTTTGAAATGTTGCTCCTTTTTGGGCTATACAAGAAGAAACGAAATACAAATAATGAAACTTCGATCTATAATGTTCATGTCGAAAACTGTTGTGAGAAAAAAAAAGATATTAAATATCATAAACTTTCAAATGAATCCTTTCCTCTTTAGAACTGTTTTATTAAAAAATCATGTCGATTTACTTCAATCGATGATCATTTATCAGATTATATCTCTCTAGAATTTCCTTTTTTAATCTTCTCATGTTTCAGAAAAACAATCCATATTGTAATTTAGATCTGTAATTTTGCCATTAAGATTCTTCTATGATTTCTATCATATTCCGAAAATTTCAGCTTGAATGAATGTTTTCTTTTTAGGAGATAAGTTTCTCAAATAACGCACAAATTTTGGCGAAAATTCACGAAAATCCTGTTCTCTTGTACATTTATTATCTCAGAAAGAGAATGCTTCCCCCTAGCTGGAAATTTCGATGTATGAAACAATTTAGACGAGCTTATTACGAACGAAATTTCAGATCTAATTGATGTCATGCGCTTTTTCTTAACGTTCGTGTTACTTAAATTAAAAATTCAGCAAAACGATCATAACTGTGGAAAAATATAACAAATGAATGAATCTTTATAGGGTTTGTCTACTCTCAGTATACTTTAGTTAATGATATAAGTATCATCTCATAAGCTTTTTCTCATTTAACAAAATTCACTCGTTAGAAATACTCTAGGGTGTGGGTGTGGGTGTAGGGTGTGGGTGGGGTGTGGGTGTGGGGTATGAGTATAGGTGTGGGTATTGGTGTGGGTTTGAGTTTGAGTTTGGATGTGTGGATGTGAGTGCGAAGGTAATTTATTCTCTACACTCGAACCCGCACACCCAGTCCCACACCCACATCCACATCTCACACCCATACCCACACCCACACTCACACCCCACACCCACACCGTTATGGCATCACTCATCGAATACTAGACATGGTCCAACTTTGCATCTCACCCAATGCTTGTTTTTCTACCAGCATCCGAACTGATCCGGTAGCTTTGCACTCACACTCATGTTCCCGGTCCGATGGGATGTGGGATGTCCGATTCGATTGCAGAACACTATTATTGACAAGGCAATTTCACAGCATCCAAGAATCAACCTTTCTGATTAATTGCACTAACATCCACATATTCATCTATACTATATCCACCCTCTCTAGATACCTTTATTGACACTTAACAAATACCTCCATTAGGGCTTTATTCCGAACTAATGTGCTTCAGTTTCAAGCGGCATATTTCAAGATGACAAGAAAAGCACGAGAAGATGGTCTATATGATGATAAGATAAGAGAATAAGAAAGTGCATGATGCATTCATTCATTTTTGAAAGCTTAATGAAAAGCGAAACTCCTATAAGGGACTCAACAGGTAGATACAGAGATTTTTGAAAATTCGAGATAACTGTTGAGTGGTTTGTCGTTCGTTGAAGTATTTTGATATACATTTAGAATGTCGCAGAAAAAAAGCTGTGCACTCGTAGAAATGGCTACTTCGTTTGAAACTCTGTCAAATGATATTGTCTATTGCATTTTTGATTATTTGGATCATGTTCATATCGCATATGCTTATTGTCATTTGAATGATCGATACAATCAACTGGTTTCACATTATGTGAAATTCATAAACTTGGTCAATCGTTCATTCTCACACTGTTTGCTTAAAGAATGCTGCAATATATTTCCATTTATAGGTACCAATGTCACAGTTTTTAAAGTTGGTAATTCAAATCGGCGCAGTGAAACGGAACTATTTGGCAGTGGAATGAATGTTTCAGTTGTATGGCCGAATTTAAGTGTTCTTTGGATCGAAAATGCTTCACATATGAGCCATCTTATTCCCTATTTGAATGACTTATCATCTTTTTCAAGACTAGGGAAACTGAAACTTAATATTGTTGAGGACAATGGAATATACATGGATCGTGAAAAAAAGGAGTTAGAAATTATTTCTAGGCAGTGTATTAAATACGTTTCAGACAAGTTATTTTATACTCAACATCCTTCGTTAAGACATGTTATATGTAATTCTGAACATTCAATTCATTTTAGTAAACCTATCTGTGCTACAAATCTTAAACTCCTACAAATATCAGTATTAACAAAAACAAGTGATTTGCTGAATCTTTTAGCAAACGTTCCGAATCTTGAAGGATTGCAAGTGAGACTATCGAGCACTGAAATAGAACCTAGTTTTAATACGATTCCATCGATACTAAAACTGAAAGTGTTTATATTTGAATATTTTGAACAAGCAAATGCATACAATTTCAAAGTATTAGAAGCAATCATCAAAAGGTGTCCACTTCTTTTTGTATTATCACTCAAAGTGGAGTCTGTTCATTGTTCAAATCGAATAGATGGTCACTATTTTGAACATGAATTGTTGTCACACTGCGAATATTTGAAAAAGCTTTACTTTTGCCTTAAAATACACGATTTCTCTTTTTATCCTTCTCATCAGAGGAACTCTATCATGCAAAGTTTTTGCACGGAGTATTGGCGTCAACGAAACTGGTCTGCAAATTTTTACATTGATGAATTTACAATTATTCTGCATTCAATACCATTTCCATACGGAAAGCTACAAGACTTATCGATCGATGCTCTTCAGTATAATTTTAGTAATGCTGTCAATTGGTCGGCAGTTCACTGTTTAACATATAAGACGGCTGCAGTAATATCGCCACCATTGTTACAAGCAATCACAGAGACATTCAAGAATTTAACTACACTTGTATTTGATTCACAAGTTGATTTATCATATAGTAATGTTATTCTTCATAATGTTAAATCGCTTCAATTAAACTCTCCAATGAAAAAAACATTTCTTAAATCGATTTTTTCAATAACACCAAACGTCAAAATCTTAAAAATGGATGGCACTCAACTTTTAGCTTACACTCCACGTCTTCCATTGACAAGTCTTCATGTCATGGGTGCTAGTATGAGTCAATTTCACGGCTATATCGTCAATTATCCTGCCTTGGAGGTATTGCAAATAACTTGTAACTCGAATACAAATGCATCATGTCAAATTAGTGTGATCAAATTATTTGACTATATGAAGTATCTGTGTTCTCTATCAATAACTGTACGACCAGATCGTAATCCATATGCAACAGTGCACTCATCTAGCTCTGTTTTAAAAGATATTGCTGAAAGCGTTGGAACGAGTAAAAACATGCATTGTCGAAAGCAAACTGGTTATATCCAAATATGGAGGTGAATAAGGAATGCAATGCAATGAGTTCTTTAGAAAGTGGATTTGGGTGAGTGAATACGTATGAATGCATATGTGGCTGGATGAAAATGTGAGTATTGGGTGTAGATGTGGATTTGTATGTCATTCTATTCGTCTCGTCCGCGCCCTCACTCGCAGTAAAAGTTGGTCCGATAATGTATTTGTTCGTT